GGGGGGGGCCCCCCCCCCCCCCCCCCCCCGGCTCCTGCTTGGCCCAGCCTCCCAGGGAGCCAAGCAACCGGAGCCTCGTGAACAGAACGTGTAAACAGATGCACTTCTAGGCTCGGCACACAAACTAGCCTAGGAGTTTGTGCAGGTGGACAGGCAGGAGGGCCATGAGGCTCCAGGTGGGGAGCCTGAAGGAAAGGGTCTGCACAGTAGTAGCCAGACTACTACGAGGACCATGGTGGGAGGGACACATTGTGCCCCGAAGCTCCTCCCTGCACCTGGACCCCCTGCTCTGGTTCCATGGGGGTCTCCGTTCAAACAGAGCCCATAGTTCCAGCCTCTACCCAAACAGAGCCTGCTGGACCCACGCCTCCGGCCACCACTCAGACAGAGCCCCTGGCTTTCTGTGGAGGCTGCCTGGCATGGATGCGGGCAATTGGGTCTGGGAGCACTGACACATCCCCTTGTAGGATGTGCTCAACAGTGGAGGCCCTGAAGTGCCAGATTAGGGAACTCCAGGCAACGGTGCAATGGGCTGCAAGCCGTTAGAATTGCAGAGCAGGAACTGGACACCTACTTGTAGGCGCTCCACCTGACGACTGATGTCACCTTGGCAGAAATAAAGAGCCGCCATGAGGTCCAGCCAGGGGTTGCCTGGATGGAGTTAGTCTCTGGCCCTAGGAGGCACTGCACCACAGTGACCGTTCCCCTGGAGCTGCACAACCATTTCAAACCCCTCACATCAGCTGAGTCGGCCAAACTCCCGGCCCCAACATGCGAGGAAGGAGGGCCACCAGCAACTGCTCCCAGAAGGAGATGTAGAGTAATCGTGATGGGTGATTCCCTCCTGAGGGGGACAGAGGGTCCAATCTGTAGCCCCAACCACGTAGCCCATGAGATTTGTTGCCTTTCTGGGACTCATGTCTGTGATGTGACTGAGAGGATCCCCAAACTCATCCAGCCCTTGGACCACCATCCTATTCTACTCATCCATGTGGGCACAAATGACATGGCTCAGAGCAATCCTGACCAGGTCATGTGTGACTACTGAGCACTGGGGGCTGGGCTCAAGGGTCTGGGGGCTCAAGTAGTTTTTTCCTTGATCCTCCCAGTCATGGGTCATGGGCCCCGGAGGGATAGATGCATTGGTGAGGTGAACAGAAGATTCCAGTCATGGTGCCATCATGAGGGGTTTGGCTTTGACCACACTCCACACTTCAGTGAGAGAGGTAGCAGACTGTTTGAAGGGATGGCCTCCACCTCAGCTGGAAAGGGAAGAAGCTCTTCTTGACCAGAAGGGCTGACCTACTTGACAGGGCTTTAAACTAAGATCACTGTGGGATGAGCAGTCAATCAACAGTTCTAACCCTGGTCATGCCAATCACAGTAGTAACAGCTTAGGTAGCCCAAGGGAATCCACTCTGGTGAGAGCCCAAGAAAGCTCACGTCCCATCACATAAGGAAGCCTAGGGCTTCCCATGGCAGACTGAATTGCCTGTATATTAATGCCAGGAGCTTGGATAACGAGCAAGAGGAGCTGGTCATTTTGACTGATAAAGACCTTGTAGGGATAACAGAGATCTGGTGGGACTCCTCCTATGACTGGCTGATAGGTATAGAGGCTATACCCTCTACAGGGGTGATTGTGTTGGGAAGAGGGGTGAGGGTGTAGCTCTCTATGTCAAGGAGCAGTACACTTCCCTTCAAACTAAGTTCATTAACCATGGAAGGCATCTTGAGACCCTCTGGATTAAAATACCGGGGGAGTATGGGGAAGGAGATATATGAGTCTATTACAGTCCTCCTAACCAAGAAGAAGAACTGGATCTCAAATTCAATAGGGAATTGTGGCTGAGGCCACATATTCCCAATGTATGATCATCATGGGAGACTTCAACCTCCCAAACGTCTTGTGGGAAGAGCACATGGCCAAGTCTGACTGGTCGCATAACTTTCTTGCCTGCATTGACGACCTGTACCTGACACAAGAGATCTACGGGCCAATTAGGGGAGAGGCACTGCTGGATCTGGTTCTGGTCAAAGGGGATGATCTGGTGAGTAAGGACCGAGGACAAGCTTGGTGACAACGACCATGATCTGATTACTTTCTCTGTCCAACGCAGGGTGGGCAAATCCCTCAGTAAAACAGAAATTCTCAACTTTGGGAAGGCTGACTTTCACAAACTCAGGAGACTGGTCAGTCGGGCACTAAGGGAGCGTTACCCCCTAGGAAGGGGAGTCCATGAAGAATGGTTGTTCCTAAAGAACTCAGTCCTCAAAGTGCAAGGAAAGTCCATTGTGTCCCACAGGAAATGCAGTCAGAGGGCAGGGAAGACCCCGTGGCTCAACAGGGAATTTCTGGGTCTCCTGAAACTGAAAAGAAAAGCCTACACCAGATGGAAAACTAGAATCATCACCAAGAAGGACTACTCAGCACTAGCCTGTACCTGTAGGAAGTGGTCCAGAACAGTCAAAGCAGTAACCGAAATCAGGCTAGCCACTGGAATCAAGGATAACAAAAAGTTGTTTTTCAGATATGTGGGAAGTCAGAGGAAGAAAAAAAGCAACATTGGTCCCCTGAGAGATCAAATGGGGCAGCTGACATCTGACACCCAAGAAAAGGCCAATCTCCTAAACAATTACTTTGTGTCAGTTTTCCACCCACCCAAGGGAGTCATGCTGTCAGACAGGATGCAAAGCATCTGGGGCTTGGGAGATGGACCCACAATTGACATATATCAAGTGAAAGAACACTTCAAGAGGCTTGACATCCATAAGTCCGTGGGCACCCGAGAATCTTAAAAGAACTGGTGGACATCATAGCATACCCTATGGCCAAGGTATTTGAAAGCTTGTGGGACTTGGATAAATTACATCAACCTCATCTCCCTTGTTCAGGCAATGTGTCACCTGGCCATAGAAGATGAGGTTGGTCAGGCAAGACCTTCCAGTAATAAAACTGTGTTGGCTGGCATTCAGTAGGTTGCCTTCCATTAGCCTGTTGTAGATGGTTCCCTTGATAATTTTCTCCAAGATCTTTCCAGGGATGGAAACACTGGAAAAGAGCCAACCTGGTCCTAATCTTCAAGAAATTCAGGAAGGAAGATCTAGGGAATTACTGACCTATCAGTCTGATGTCCATCCCTGGAAAGATCTTGGAGAAAATTATCAAGGGATCCATCTACAACAGGCTAATGGAAGGCAACCTACTGAATGCCAGCCAACACAGTTTTATTACTGGAAGGTCTTGCCTGACCAACCTCATCTTCTATGGCCAGGTGACACATTGCCTGAACAAGGGAGATGAGGTTGATGTAATTTATCTGGATTTCAAGAAGGCCTTTGACTTGGTCTCCCATGATGTCCTCATGTCCAAGCTGGGGAACTGTGGCCTCGACCATCTCATGGTTTGATGGCTGGGGAACTGGCTCTGGGGTCAGACCCAAAGTGTACTAGTTGATGGGAACAAATCAACATGATGCAAAGTTACCAGTGGAGTCCCCCAGGGCTCAATGCTTGGGCTGGTACTCTTAAATATCTTAATTAATGATCTGGGTTTGGGTGTCAGATGCAGACTGGTAAAGTTCGTGCATGACACTAAACTACAGGGGAAGGTGGTCATGCTGGAGGACAGGCTGGGGATACAGGCTGTCCTGGACATGCTTGCAAAGTGGGTGGACCAAAACCTGATGGCATTTAATATACAGAAATGCAGAGTACTTTACCTTGGGAGGAAAAAAACAGCATCATTCTTATAGGCTTGGCAGTGCTACACTCTCTAGCACCATGACTGAAAAAGACTTGGGGGTCTTGATTTACCACAAGATGAACATGAGCCACCAGTGTGATGCTGTGGTCAGCAGAGCAAACCAAACTCTGGCATGTATCCACCAGTGCATCTCAAGGAAAACCAGGGACATCATCCTCCCACTTTATTTGGCCTTGGTGAGGCTGCAGCTGGAGTACTGCATCCAATTTTGGGCCCCCCATTTCAGGAGGGATGTGGATAAGCTCAAGAGAGTCCAGAGGAGAGCCACTCATATGATCAAAGGCCAAGGGAGCAAGTCTTACAAGGAGAGGCTGAACTCTTCAGCCTGGCAAAGAGAAGGCTCAGGGGGGAATTGGTGGCAGCCTACAAGTATATAAGGGGGGTACATCAGGATCTGGGAGAACAAGGGAAAACTAGGTCTAATGGCCACAAACTTCTAGAAGGCTGATTCAGACTCGATATAAGGAAAATCTTTACAGTCTGAGTGCCCAAGGTCTGAAACAGACTAGCCCCAGAGGTGGTGCAAGCACTAGGCCTGCGCGAAGTGGCTAGTATTCTCTTCGGATTCAGCCGATTCAGGGGACAGTGATTCGACTTGGTGATTCGACTTACTGTCCCAATCCTGATTCTCTGAATCAGCCAGGCCCATCCCCCACAGCCCACCAATGGCTGCCCCACCTGTCCCAGCTCCCAGCTGTTTGGGGAAAAAAAGTCCCGACTCAGCAGGTGCTGCTGGACAGGGGATGATCTCTGCTGACCCCTACTGCCCCACACTGCATGGGGGGTTCTGCATGAGCCCCCCAACCCCCCCTTGCTGCCCCAGTCCCCCACGGGTAACTGTCCCCAGGCCAGTTCTGGCCCTTTA